TTTTGAAGAGAATTGATATATCGACGATACTGTACTTTCCACCTGGATTAGTTATCTATTGCTGCTGTAACAAATTACCCAAAATTCAACAACTTGAAAAAAACACAGATTTATTATCTTGTATTTTTTAAGGTCAAATTCCAACGTGGATCTCACTGGACTGAAATCCACGTGTTAGCGGGGCTGGGCTCCCTTTCAAAGAGTTTTGGGGAGAATCTGTTTTGTTGCCTTCCCAGTTTCTAGAGCCTGCCCATATTCCCTGGCTTGTGGCCCCAGCCATCTTCAAAGCCATCGGTTGCATCATTCCAAACTTTGCTCCTGTCCTCATGTCTTCTCTGACGCTGACTGACTTTCTGCCTCCCTCTTCTCCTTCTAATGTCCCTGATGATGACATTGGGCCCACCCAGAAAATCTAGGATGATCTTCCCATCTCAAGGGAATCATGTCAAAACCACCATAATTTTATCTGGAACCTTAATTCTTCTTTACCAAATAACCTCACATATTCACAGGTGCTAGGAATTAGAACATGGACATCTTTGGATCATTATTCTACCTACCACAAGCCCATCTAGCGAGTTTTTCTTTCAGTTCTTATACTTTTAAGTTCTAACACTTGCATTTGGTTCCTTTTATAGCTTTATTTCTTTGCCGAGACTATTTAATTTTCCATTTGTTTCACAAGTGATTGCAGTTATCTGTTGGAACATTTTTATGATAGCTGCTTTAAAATTCTTCTTAGAGAATTTCAACATTCATGTCATCTTGGTGTTGAAATCTGTTGATTTTCTTTTTTCATTTGCGTTGAGATTTTCCTAGTTCTTTATGTGACAAAAATTTTGGATTGTATCCTATACATTTCGAGTATCATGTTATGACACTCTGGTTCTTATTTAGATCTTCTATTTTAGCTTGCAGTTAACAGGTTTAGGTTCAGAACATGCATCCTGGCCCACTTTTGTGGTTTGTGGTTCCAATATCAACTTAGTTTTCAAAGCGTTTTCAATGCTATTCTGGTAAACCCCACTTGTATGCAAACCCAGACGCCAATATGGAACCTGGGCAGTAGTCCTCACCAGAGTTCAATTCTCTCATCATTTGCTCTCTTGATTCTGGTTGGTGTCACACAGTGGCCTCTTGGGAATTTGCCCAGGATTTCATACACAGATTTAAGAATCCTTTTCTTCAGCTCCTTTCTCTCTGCAATCACGCTCCCCTCCACATATACACAAACTCTCCCTAAGCTCTGCTAGATATTTGTTTAGTGATGAGCAGGAACGGTTGGCAGGTCTCTATCTCACAGTCTCAGGACGGGTAGGGAGGCGATAAGGGAGCAATACCTCTCTTCCTGATGGAGTGGGGCAGATATGGTTGATAGTCTTATAATTTTCTTCAAGAAAGGAGAAGTGGTCAACTGGTTCACTGTTGCTAACAATAAAAAGGAGTTGAACTTCGCATTCTTAAGAGGTTAGGGTGGGCCTTGAAAATAGTTATAGTTGTGAAGATAACAGTCCAATTGGAATGTATAAGAGAGAATGTGTAGACATTCTCAGAATAAGAGAATGTGGTCCAAAATCAACATATCCAGTCAACTATCAGTTGAATGAAAGAGCACCAGGCTGACATTCTCAAATATAAATTATATCAGGCAGTATAACACTCATGAATCCTTCTTAAAATGTACTGCCTGACGATCTAACAAATTAATAGTTTAGGCTAATAAAAATTCAAGAGTTAAAAGGAGTGGTGGTGAGCTGGGAATCTATTCAAGGTTATTTCTTTCAAATTATTAATAGATGTTAACAAAGGCTACATTAAACCTTTATCTTCCTGAACAACATATGAATCTTGCAATGCTTTAATTCATCCTCCCATCTTCCATATTATTGTTGTCCAGTATTTTAGTTCTACTTTTAAAAAACATTCCTTCTGAAATAATTATTCATTTTCTTTTATAGTTGTTGCTTAAAGATTTTGACAAAATGTTTTTCAATGTCTACTCATCACTGCTTCTCGTAACCCATTAATTGACTTTCCTCCTTCCTTAAATATATCCTTTTGTAGTTGTTTCAGTGAGGGACATAAATTTCAAGTTGTTTTTTTTTTTTTACTTCAAAATATCTGTAATTTGCCTCCACTTCGAATATAATGAATAATAATTTCATTGAGCACAAAATCTCAATTTGTAGTCATGTTCCTTTAGCCCTTTGAAGATATGTCATCATCATCTGGTCTCTGTTGGTGTTTTTGAGAAGGCAGATTTATTGCTGTTCATTTGTAGGTAATTTAAGTTTTTCTCTCGGTTACTTAAGGATCTTCTTTATGATGATGCTTCTGGATGCTGGAGTTTCTTTTCCTTTCTCTTCCTTCCCTTCCCTCCTCTCTATTGTGTTCTGCTTTTTTTTCTTTTCTTACTCTCTACTCTCTTTCTTTTTTTCCTTTCTTTTCTTTTTCACATTTTTTTTTGCTTTTTTTTCTTCTACATATATATTCTCCTAGATGAGCTTTAGAATGTCTACCATTTCAAAAATTATTAAAAAGAATTTAAATTTCAATTGGAATTTTGTTTAACCTGTTAATTAATTTAGAACAAATTGATGTTTTTAGTATATTTAATATATCTATTTAGGAACATGCTATTTCTACACATTTTAAAATGTCTCTCTAGAAATATTTGTTCATTTATCAAATCATCTTGCATAATTCTTGTTAAATATATGTAAAGGTTTGCTACATTTTTGTTTCTATTTTGAATAGACTCTTTTTTTAAAATCACATTTTCTATTTATTTGGTTATTGCTGAACTAAAGAAATCTACTAACATAATTTATTTTTTTCCTATCTGAATAGATCAGATTCTACATAGTATGTGGGGAAGTAGCAGAAAGGTTAAAACTAAACAACAGAGATTTAAAAAATTGTGGCAAATCTGTTTTTTTCAAGACTTTATTATTTTTTTATAACAGTTTTAGGTTTACAACAAAATTGAGAGAAATGTACAGAGATTGACATCTATTTTAAGGACAAGTATACTGTCATTTATTAGATAAAATTAGTTGCCTAGAGAGTGCATTTTATTTTCAAATATACAGGGAAAGAAAAGTAATAATTGAATACAACCAAGAGAAAAAAATTTAATATATTTAATTTTCCTGCTAAAGATTTAGTATATACATTTGACTGTAGAAAGTTCTTGTTGTAAAAGCTGAATCAAACTTAAGAGGCGAAATAAATATAGAGAAAGACTGGGCATACTAGAATTAGTAGAGTTTGAATGATATGCATCAAGCAAACAGAAAGATACTGAGAAACTGCAATGCAGAGTTGCTACAAATAATTCTTGAGACATCAAAGAATATAACTAACTTTTTTTTCCTAAAGTATATCTAAAAATCATAGAATCAATGTCAATATCTGAGGATCAAGTAAAAGAAATTACCAATTTATAATTTAGAAATACTGAAAAGAGCTTAAGTGGTTGCCTGTCTTTGTAAAGCAAATCATGTCAGACCAGCTTAATTCTCTTTTATGACAGAATGATAGCATTAAGCATAAGAAGCATAAGAACCATTTGTAAAATGGGATCTATTTTAATTTCAATAAATGCTTTGTTCTGTTATATGTGGCATGTTGCTTGTAAGCTAAGGAAGTGTGGGTTGCTGCACTGTTCTCGATGGCTAGTCATCACGAGTCTGTTCCCAGCTGGGAGCTTATATTAATAGGCAGTTGCAAGAGTTTGTCATGGAGTTCTTCAGATTCAATAACATGATTAAAAATCTAAAGAAATGTTTCGAGGTATTACTAATTAAATCTGTAGATATTACTAATCTAAATAGTAGTATTAGTCTCTGATGCTAAACTTAGAAACAATCTTGAAATATTAGAAAGAAAAATTCTAAAAAAATCGATACTAGAAGAGAAAACTAGAAGACACAAAGAACTTTGGGAACACTTTTGGGGTAAAACAGCTGCATGGTATGGAAAGACCAGCTCGATGAGAATATATAATTTAAAATAAAATCCCAGTATGTTTGTGAGGCAGAAGGCGAATTGGAGTATGTGTGAAAATGATCATAGATCAAAATGTTATTTTAATAAAAAGTATTTGTTAAAAGAGACTGAGAAAGATATAAGAAAGGAAGAAAGGAAGAAAAAAAAGGCAAACAATTTAGAAAAGCATATAGCATACAATATCTGAAATATCACTCTTCTACTCATACTAATCATGCTTCTATTAGAATATTATATCTCGCTTTAGTCAGCACATTTTCAAAGGATGTGAAAAACGAAATGGATTTAAAGAAGAGCAACAAGAATGACTGAAGGGATCCGATATATATTCTAGAGTGAAAGTTTAAGAATTCAGTATTGTTTACACTAGGAAAGGGATGATTTTATTGTCATTTGCAAGTATATAAAGGATTATATATATACTTGAAACCCCCACTGGTGATTTCTCAGGTCTGCAGAGGATGAAAAAAATACAAAGTTTATACAGAAAAGATCAGGTTTGGATATAAAGCAGACGTCTCTGCCATCGGGATAATGGAAATTTGAAATGACTTCTAAACAAGACTAGAATTCAAACCCCCATGCCAGTCTCATGTTGGATGTAGCATTCAGTACCAGAACAAGTTTGGGACCGATTCTGTATATCAGGGGTCAGCAAACTACCTACTGGCCCACTATCTGTTTTTTGGACAGCCCATGAGCTAAGAATGTCACTTACATTTTTAAATCATCGAAAACAAATCAAAAGAATATTTTATGACACAAGAAAATTACATGAAATTTGATTTCAGGGCTCATAAACGAACTTTTGTTGCAAAAGAACAACACCATTCACTGATGTGTTGTTTGTGGCTACTCTGGCGCAGTATACTGACAGGGTCGAACAGATGTGACTGAGACCACATGGTCCACGGGGCCTAAAATCGTTACTATTTGGCCCTTCACAGGAAAAGTTCCCCAAGCCCTGACCTGTATGATGGTCGCCACTTACACAGTATGTAGATTTCATCCCAAAGTCTAGAAGCTTTCTTTGTTGTAATAGAAATGGACCCCTCTCGGATCGGCTGATGAATGTAAGCGGCACATCCTTCGGAGCGTCTTCGAGAGAGCTTTGGGTCCGCAGAAGAACACGCCAATGCTGCTGCTGCAGAGGGGGCGGGAGAGAAAGGACATGTTACACAGGGTCAAGGCCGGCCACAAGCCAAGACAGAACTGTAAAATCAGCAGAGTGGCTGTGGTTGTGACTTCACTGATTTTTCTGCACCCACTTCCTTCTTTCCCTCTTCCTGCTTTCGGAACTATGATCACCCGCAGGTGTCCAGGGTCCCATTATGCCCTGAATCGCACAGGTAAGTGGACCCGAGAAGACTGAGGCTGGCGAGGCCTGATGACTAGGGAGGGAGTTTCAATACAGAGGCGACATGGCCTGCAATTTCAGTCTGGCGACCTCGATCAGCGAAGTGTCCGTTAGGAAGGTGACTAGAATGTAAGCTCCTTGAGAGTGGGAACCTTGTCCGTTTTCCTCGCCTCTGACTGTAATCCTGCCCCCGGAATAGTGCTTGGCATCCAAGAGACAATCAACACATGTTTGTTGAACGTGTGTTCATGATTACATGATTCTGCAGATTATTATCTGCGTGGTCTTGGGCAAGACACTGGACCTCGATCTCCACACACGTAAAACTAAAATAATAATGACCTCATTGATGTTTTATTGAAAGCAAAATGCAATGATGCAGTCAAAAAGGTTTTAAAAGTGTCAGTTGTTCCTAACATCCCGTTCAACCCTGCCTTTTTATAGATAATAAAACGTATACCAAAGTCATAGCAACCTAGTTTATTCCTCCTGTTGGAATTACTTTAGTTTTCAAAGATGGCCAAAAAAAGAAGACTTGGGAAAAAAAAGACATTGCTGAAAATGTAGCCACCCAAAAGTTGTCACCTGTAATCATGATATTTTAGAAAACTGTGTTGCAGAGATATTTTTGCATATAGTGACTGTCCCGAGGCCGAGAACGCCAGCTCTGCTGACACATAAACGATGCCGCCGGTGAAAGGACTTGGGTTGTCTCTGGAAGTCAGGAGGGACCCATCTCTACGTGGACTTATGGAGACCACACTTCCCCTTGTCTGGCATTGTGCTGTTCCTGATAGCATTTTTTCTTCAATCTCTACCACAAGTTTAATTAGTTACTCTCGTCTAGATCAAAAATTCTATTTTCCTGTGCATAGAATTATCTAGGCATATTGTTAACATATAGGTTCCCAGGCTTAGGTCCAAGGTATGCATTTCTAGCAAGGCCCCCAGGTGACACTGGAGCACATGGTATATGAGCCGCACTTTGAGATACACCGTCTGAGAGGAATTCCTTGGACCCCTGGGCCATGGTGCCCACTGCATCGCCTCTACTTCTTCGTACCTGGTTTCTGTTGGGAAGTGCTTTGTTCTTCTGAGCTCATGTATTAACGTGGTTCTCTGCCATGCATCGTATGCACCTGTAATTATGTATTCCACGACCACAATATCCACGGTAGAATTTGATGGTTCAATCACATTTAAAACTCTAGCTTCAAAGGAACTTATCAAGTAGATTCATTCATAAATGACGATATGTTTAAAACGTGTAAGTGCCATTTTCAAAGACGTCATTCCCATGACCTAATTCAAGAAAGTACGTTTTCAGAAAAACAGAAGCACGTGTACGGTATTGATGGGAATAAAAGGCAGTGGTTGCGAGCGCTATTGGTCCGACCGCTTTGTTGCTGAGCAGTTTGGGGCATGTTAAGTATCTCTTCAAAGTTCTCATGTTCTTAATTATAAAATGGAGAGAATTATAGTACCCAGCTCCTAGAACCTCTGTGAGAAGTAGACAAGACATTGCAGGCACATGGTGAGCTCTCGGTGACAGCTTACATGATGACCCATGTGATGTCTGCCTGCTCCATCAAACTGACCAGATGCAATGCGGGCTGTTAACCCAGAGATGATTACAGACTTTCTGGATCAACACTCTATCACTAGGTTTTTTTAAGTTCTGGACTGAAACATTTGGAATGATAGATTGGTCAGGTAAACCCTTTCCTAGTGAGAGGTCACAGCTTGGCTTTGTGTCTGATGCCCAGAGGTACCGCTGCATCTAGGTTCAAAGACGCTGTTATGGGTGGTGATAATTTTCCATTAGTGTGGGTGTCGCCATAGAGATTGCCCACTGGCCCATTCCCAACGGGCTAAGTTTGCCCTTTCATTTGCAGCCAAGGCGAGTGCTTGCAGAAGCTGAGGCTACTCTTTGATGCTCTGCCTTTAAGACTCCATTTCAAAAGATTCTGATTGCCGGCTGCCAGGTGTACCACTGCTGTCCCCAGCAGTTCACAGCTATCCTGCTCCTTTTGAAGTCGTGGCTATTACACTGCTCAGCTAAGTACACACTTTCCTGTATTCATGTACCTGTCACGGTTATGCAATCACCGGAGTCTCACAAAGGCCATTCATTATCTCCCTTCCGCTGAGGCGGAAAGGCCAGTCCGTCACCAGTTCTCTGAGCATTCCTGTCCCCACACACAGCATTCTATTGCTTGCCTTGCTTACCCTCCTCGGCAATTTCAAGTCCAGAGCTTTCTTGTCGCAAATGCCAAGTGTGAATCACGGAGTTGAGAATCCACACAAAAACAGTTAAGGCACAGATGTGGTAGCATTTTTTTTTTTTTCTTTTATGAGGCAATGGACAAGTGCAAGAGAACCCTAATGGGAATGGTAAAGAGAAAAATTCTTCTATAAAGTTTAATTACCCACGATTGCTTAGAATTAAAAAAAAGAAAAAAAAAAAGATTCTCTGTAAAAGAAGAATAAAAACACGAGGCATTATTCTTCAGTTTACAGCCTGCCAAGCCTGCAGACGCGGGAGGAGATGGGTCAGGGATGACATTAGCCGCATTGATCAGCCTGAGCTGCTGACTTTGACAAGAAAAGGACAAATTTTATACAAGCTGCAAAGATGGTTAACATTACAGCATTATACTTAACTCCGATAAACAATAAAGAGAATCCTCTCTCCAACCCCTCTTATTTGCTAAATAACTATCATCTCTTCTCTGTGGGGTTGATGCATTTTTTCAAAACAGTTCAGCCATGCCATGCACGAAAGGCATTTAAAATGTCACCCACCGGGAGATTTCAGTCCAGCAGATATATGGGAGAGTGAGGGCACCCGGGAGTCATTCCACCATCTTGCCGGATTCTCGGGTTCTGCTGCCTTGAGCCCTTCTCTCTTTAAATTGTATGTTTGTTTTTATGTGTTGGCTTTTATGCTTGGTAAGTTATAACCCTGTAGGGGCAGACCCTAAACCCCATTTTAAAAAAAATCAAATTACTTTATACCCTGAGTGCTTTCTGCAAATAAAATCGATAAACAGAAGCTTCCCGTGGATTTATGAAGGTTTAGATAGAAGACAAGGAAAGCTACAGACTCGGCATCAGACAATAGATACAACTCCTGGTTAATCTTTCTTAGAGAATGTTTTTCATTAGCGAGGCCTCCAAATGATTCATCGCATAATTATATTTTGTACAACACCTTCTTTTTCATAACCACAGATGATAACTGCGTGGGCCAGTTTTTTTTTTTTTTTTTTTACCCATCTTGCAATTGATCAGTAGCAGCCTGCTCTGTGACTTTTCTCTGCATCTTAATTACTCAGTTGTTCATTAGGAGCTACCCGTGGCCCTGACAGCTTGCTCACAGCTGTGGCACTTCTGCCCTCTTCCTGCCACCTCCATCTTCTCTGGCAAGAGTTAAGACTTTTGTCCCAGCTTCCTCATCCTTCTCACTGTCAACCCATCTTGCAATTGATCAGTAGCAGCCTGCTCTGTGACTTTTCTCTGTATCTTAATTACTCAGTTGTTCATTAGGAGCTACCCGTGGCCCTGACAGCTTGCTCACAGCTGTGGCACTTCTGCCCTCTTCCTGCCACCTCCATCTTCTCTGGCAAGAGTTAAGACTTTTGTCCCAGCTTCCTCATCCTTCTCACTGTCCCTTCATTTGCTGAGGCTGGTCACTGTGCTTGCCTCTGAGGGGCATAGATAAAGGTGCTGCCCTGGAGGACACTGCGGTCCAATAGGGGAGAGAAATGAAAATAGTTGACTCGTGGCGTCGGGTCACCAGAAATGGTAGAGCCGTTCTTCTGCCAATCCTGTCCCCTTTCCCTCTCTGATGAAACACTAAAATATATACAGCTTCATACAGAAATATCCTAATATTTTTGCCGTATCTAATATTCTGATAGATGACATCACCAAGGAAACTTCGCCGAGCAATGTTAAATCTGCCTTGTGCTCACCTACCTCCCTAATGTCAACCACTACAAATGCAGTCATGCCAGTAGTTTTCATTGACTCTTTACTTGATTGTAAATGGAGAGCTGGTATCCTCTGTTGGAAAGGTACTATTTAAATATGCTAACAATATCCCAGTCTTAAGTTTATGGTGACATTATTATTCTCATGAAGCTATACTTTATCATGTGTCAGGGTTCCACTTAAGTCTATTTCTTTGAGTATTCTGAACATTTTAGTCATATAATGGATGTTTAGGTTATCCTGTTAGACAGAGAGAGGGTCTTGCTTGTATGCTGTAATCAGAATTTTAATTTCTTAAAAATATCATTTGAAACCATTTTGCACATATGCATGTACAAATGAGAAGCGGAGGGTGTGCACATAAGCAAATGTGGTTCCAGATGGACACATTTACTCAATTTAGTATAAAGGTATTTTTACACTTCTGAAAACAATGGGTGGTCTAAAAAAAATACATACAATATGTATTAGAAGCTCCCGATCATATGGTTAGCACCTTTTCTCATCATTGGGTTGGGTTGAACTCTTCTAACAAATGGTAGTACTCTTTTATTCTTTATTATTTTTCCTTCCAGATGAAAGAAACGCTTCTATCAAAGTTATGAAAAAACTGGCCAACTCTTCAAAGTTTTTATGTTTATTAATTACATAAAGCTTCACGCCTACGAGGCATGGTGAAGTTATTAGTAGATAAGTGACAAACTATAAATATTACGTGAAGTTTATGATCAAAGATTGAAGTCTTATGGAAAGTCATTTTATTCAATTAATTAAAAACAACTGATCCATTT